CGCCCGAGAGACACGCCGGGGGCAACGCAGGCGGCCAAAACCAGGCGTCCCCCCCCCGCCGCCGCCGCCACGGCGCCCCCTCCCCACCCTACGCGCCCGTCCCACGCGGTGGCCGTCAGCAAGCGCGCGGTCTCCAGGCACAGAGCAGCAGCGTCGTCGTCGCCGCCTCCGAAGCTGCTGACCAAGGTCCCCCCCGCCGCCGTTGCTGACGCCATCCGGCCACCGCTGAGCAAGAACTTGGACACCGCCCACGAGACCACGGCCGCCTTGGAATCGCAGGACAGGGACGCCGCGTGCCCCTGAGAGAGGCGGCAGCTCTCGGCCGCGAAGAGCCCCGCACAAGCCCTCGCCAGCGCCAAGTCGAAGGAACCTCCCCCGACAACACTATTGTCGCCCCGCCGCCGCCGAACCGCCGACCTGACCAGCGCCACCACGGCCGCCTCCGTCTCCGCCTGCGTGCCGACGAAAATGTCGCTTCCGAGGGACCCCAGCGAGGCAGACACGTGCACCTTGCAAGACGCCTCGGCGCAGTCGCGGAGCCAGGCCAGGCTCGCCGTCCCCTGCACCCTCCTCCACCCGAGAGCTGCGGCCGCGGAGCCCGCCCCCCCCGCCGCTTCTCCGCACAAGGATCCCCTTATCCTCGCCGGCATGAGCCGCATGCCCTCTTCGTCGGACGGCATGAGGGGCGTCGCGGCTAGGAACCCCGAGAGCACGGAGGCCGCCAGGGCCACCGTCGCCGCCGCCTGGACAGTCCCGCCGCCGCCACCGCCGGTCTTCGATGCCAGGACCGCGCTCCCGGACTTGGCCGCCGCCGCCGCCCACCGGTTTCTCAGGGTCAGGATTCCCGGGCGGACCCCTTCCCAAGCTTCTTGACTCCCCCCACCGGCGGTACCGCGGGGGTTGGAACCACATAGCAGCGCCGCTCTCACGCACGTCGACGCGACTCCGCGGAGCGCCGCTGCGGTGGCCGAGGACAGCGCCGGCGCCTCCGGGCCAGACATCTCCGGAGACCGGCCTAGGTGTTCCCAGAGACGCCGCTCGATCGCGGAGACGGGACCGGCCAAAACCTCCCCCAGTTTCGCCGCCACAGCCGGTCGTACTAGCCAACGGGCGTGGGGGGGGGGGGCGGCTACGGCTCCCGAAGAGCGTGGGGAGGGGGGTGTGACGGAAAGGCGCCCGAGGACGGTTTGCCGCTCTCGACCGGCGTCATCGGCGGTGCCGCCGGGTGCTGGGATAGGTCGGACGGTGTAGTACCCCTCGCCGCCACCTGAGGACGGACGGACGGACGGGTGGCGTCAAAACAAGACGGAGATTTTCATTCACGGGAGAAAACATCACGACGGGGCACTCTCAAACTTTGGCTATACGGGGGTAGGGAGCCGAGCTTAGCAAACACAGGCAAGCGCCACGGGTAATCAACCGCCGCCGTTTTGAAGACTGGAGGGGAGTTCTTCGGCCGAAAGCAGCGCTTCACAACCGCCAACCCGACAGACGCATCTCTCTCTCGCTCTCTCTCTCTCTCTCTCTTGCTCTCTCTATCTGTGTCTGTCTCTGTCTCTGTCTCCCTCTTTCTGTATTGCCTGTTTTCGTCCAATCTATTCTGGGCGCCAGTCTTCACGTTTTCGGTATACTGCTGTACGTGTGACGCACCAGCCGGGGTCAGTCAGACAGAAGGAACGAAAACAGTACTGTCGTGGACTAGCGTTCTGTACTTCTCCACCTTTCCCCCCGGGGGTACTTGCTTTCATTTCAAGCCTGAGAGTAAGGTTAAGCAGTCAGATCATTCCCTCTTACTGCGTTTACTCGGTCGGTCCGGTGCATCAGTTGGTAACGTTAACCTCGCACACTTCTGACTGACCCTAGACGTGAGGAACATGCTTGCCAAGACAGATAGCACAACCACACCCTCAACGAACCCACTTCGTGCCCAACACACATGCCCGAATACTGTTCCACGCAACAACGATCCTCTGCTTGATTCACAGCACCCGCAGGGAAGGGTATCCACGCAAAAGGCTAACGCCAATATCACCATCCATCCTGCGGAGGAACAGCAGTATCACTAACCTGGATCCACGTGGGCGGCCACTATGGTCACCGCTTGCCCATCGCTTGTGTAGAGCGTCTTTGCCCCGGGCACCAGATCAGCGGCGGAAGGCACCGGAGCCTTGTAGGTTCCGCACCGGACGGCCATAAGCCTGCAGCAAACAGAGGTGGGTCAAAGGGGATGTCAAGCACCAGTGGATTATTTCTCGACGGACACGGTGCGAGGTCAAAACATGGCCACCCATCCGGCCACGGTTGCATATGGGTGCTGTTTTGTTGCGGGACATAAGGCGAGAACAATCGCTCACGCATTAGGGGGTGTGTTGCGCAGGAGCGTGGAGTGTTCATGCTGCAGTACGCGATTCGATTCCTACTTACCACCCCTACCTCAAAATGACCGTGTACCTCAAAGTGACCGTGTACCTCAGAGATGGTCGCGAACCTCAAAATGACCGTGTACCTCAGAAATGGCCGCGTACCTCAAGATGACCGCGTACCTCAAAAATGGCCGTGTACCTCAAAATTGAGCGTGTACCTCGAAAAAGGCCGTGTACCCCAAAATTGAGCGTGTACCTCAAAAATGGCAATGTGCCTCAAACCGACCGCTCGAGCGAAAAAAGGCACGCCTCGCCAGACTACACACAATGCACCTGTTTGCTTCGTCCCCAAGCCCGAGGCCGCGAGCAAACGCCTCCCCGACCACCGCCACGACTAGACCGGACGAAACCGTCGCCGAGCAAGCCGTCCGCCAAGACGCTGTCCCGGCCTCACCGCCGCCACCGCCGCCCCCCGCGAGGGCGGCGGCATCTTCAGCGGCGAGGGCGAGACAAGAGGAGAGGGCGGACAGGAGGACGGCGTGGAGGCGTTGGTCTTTCGTGTCGGGCACCGCCGACTCGAAAGCTACTCGCCACAGGCCTTGAGGAAGCAACAAGCTGAACGGCTGCTTCGAAGCTACGCCGTAGCCGTCTGCTGCTGCTGCTGCTGCTGCTGCTGCTGCTCCACCGGCCTTCGCTTCGAACGCGCCTTGTGACTGCTCGCCGAGATGCGCAAGAGCCGCATCCAAGACCTCCGCTGACGCAACAGCGGCCACTGCCTCTGGGTCGTCGCCATCCGCCCCCATCGAAACGCCGCGGAACCTCCGAAGACCTACCCCGAAATCTTCCACCGAGTCAACTCCTCCTGCGGCGGCCCGCGCCATTCGGCCGCTTGCCGAGATCGTGTCCTCCGCGGGCGCGACCAGCAGGCACGAGGGAAGGTCTACGCTAACCTCCGACACCCCGCCGCGGCCTTCTTCGCCCCCCAGCAGCCTCACGGCCCTGCTGACCATGACCCCGGCAGCCAAGATCTCGTGCAGCGCCTCTCCCGCGACTCCCACGCCTCCCCCTTCAGCCTCCGCGCTCACGACTCCCTCCACCAGGAGCGACAGCCTCGCCCTGGCGTCCGGAAGACGACCCAGCACCAGCGACACGCACTCCCACCGCCGGGACCACCGGCTCCCGACGCACGCCCGCGCCAGGTCCGCGGCGGCGGTAGCCAAGGGCCCCCCCGTGGATCGCTCCCCCGCCGCCAAAGCTTCCAGCCTGCGTTGTCGCCAGACGGAGGGGCGCGTGAGCCCGAGCCGCCAGAGCACGGGCGCATCGTCCGGCGGCAGCAGGGTTGCCCCCCGCCGCAGCAACGCGCTCCGGAGGTCGAGGAGCGCGGAGGTCAGAGTCGCCGCGCGCTCCACCCCCCCCCTCCCAGGCAGTAGCAGCGGCGGGGCCCCCTGGTCCGACGCCCCGTCGTCGTTAACGCCGTTGCCTTCCATCGCGCGCCGAGCTTCTTCCACGGCTTCGCCTACGAAGTCTTGCCAGATGCCGTCGCACCACTGAGGAGGCGGCGTCTCGGCCACCGCCGCCGCCGCCGCCGCCGCCTCCCGGCGGGGGGCGCGGAGAACGAGATCTTGGAGGGTGGGGGCGGCGACGTCGCGCCACAGACGGTCCGCCGCCCGCCCTTCCCCGATCGCCGAGAAAGCGGCGAGGAGAAGAGACAACCCGCTCTTGCGGACGGCAGCGAGGGCATCGTCGTCATTGCCGACACCTCTCCTGCTACTGTCCGCCGGCCCCCCGCTTTCTCCCGTGCCTAGCACTCCGAGAAGGCCTTCCAGGACCGCCATGGGCAGCAGCGTTGGCCGGATAGCAACACCAGCAGCCTCTGCCGTTCCTGCGCTACTGGACGTCGAAGCAGAGGGGCTGGCTGCGGTCACGACCTTCGCAACCTCCGAGACAGTGGAAGCCTTCACAAAGGGGGCGGCCGTGCGCTCTCGCCCGCCATCCGTTGCCCCGAGGCAGGCTTGCAAGAAGGCTGGGAGGTCCTGCGTGCTGCTCTTTGGATGGAGTCTTGGCGACGATGATGACGATGATGATGATGATGGCGGGGCTGCCGCTGGCTCGGTTCCGGGGAACGAGATTCCGCACGCCTGAGCAGAGAGGCGGCCAAAGTAGCGCGGAAGCCGGGAGCGCTGGTTTGACGTCTGAAAATAGGATCGGCTATCCACGCATTTTGGTTGACAAGTTTGACATGGTGCCCATTGAAACAAAATAGCAGATACAGACGCGTTATAGCACAGAGGGATAAAAAAAAGACCAATAAATAGGCCTGTTCACCATCAACGCGTCGGCCACAAAGAACGCCGCCGTATCGTTAAACCAAACGAGGGGAGGGCGTACACAGACCGACGGGTCTCGGGAAAGGCAACAACAACAACTCCGTGCAGAGCAGCACGCGTGCCCCACACCGACCGCACTCACCCTAAGCAACGCCTCGTCCACCTCGGGAAACACCCTCGCCATGCTCGCAGGGGCCAAACGTAGAACCATCGTCGTCGTTCGCAGCCGCACCACCTCGGGCTCGGCGAGGGCACGCTTCAGCAGCAGCCGGAAGTCGTTCCACTGCCTCGGGCCTGGAGTACAGCAGTAGGGAGGGAGGAATGGCGTCACATCTCTGAGACGGCGTAGTTGGCTTCATGATGTGAACACTTAAATGGTACTCTGTTGTACTTGTGTTTTAAGCGAAACGAGCAAGGTTTCTCGACTACCTCCAAGATGAAAATGTGACAAAAGAGTCACGGGGTGTGTTGTCCTCCACCTTTCGTTCTGCGGTGCTTGCCTTCACATGGTGACGCGAGAAAATAGTTTCAGAAATTACTTCCCTCCTTTCGTGTTTACTCACGACAAAACGAGTTCCATGCATACAATAGATGCGATATTTTCTCTCCAGAGAGATTCGAACCCGCAACCGAGAGAGTCAGAACGTAACGAGGATATCAACTATTTAAGCCACCGGGGCGACTGCAGTCGTAAATAGCAGGGAGACCGTCGCCCACTCGAGCCGAAAATATAAACCAGCCAACATACGATGGATGCAACTACCGCGCTACGCACAAGCCGGCAATTGCATGGAACTTGTCTCTCATCTCTCATCTCTCATCTCTCACTCACCCTCTTCTGCTAGAAGAAAGGCTTTCGTGAGAGACTCGAGCGCCATCGCCGCCTCCCCCATCGCCTCCGTCGACCGCCTGCCGCCCGCCGAGGCCACAAACCTCGGGACCAGAAAATTCTCGTAAAACTCTCTGGCCGAGTCTGGAGCAACCACGCTGGGCCTGGAATCGCCACCGCCGCCGTCACCGGGGAGGGCGGCGTCCCCCATGCAGAAAATGCCGTCCATGCCAAGGGCACCCGCCATGCTCGACATGAAGGCCGTCAGAGGGGCGTCAACCGAAGATATCGCCTGCGGTCATAACATGTGTAGCAAGCGTGCACGTTGGTGGAACGTTTAGGGGGGTGTGTACTCAAGTCAACGCATGCCGTAGCCGCTAGACCATAGGCCTCACATCCCTACAATGCCGGGACGGAGCGATATGCCGGGGTTTTTTTACGTTTGCGGGGTGCCGCATCAGCATTGGAGGGACTCCGCACTCTGATGTAGGAACATGCGAGATGTTTTTAGGACCCGTGCGAGTGTTTGGTGTGACCTGACCAGCCGCTGGATGTCGCCACTACAATCGCTCGTGATGTACATACATACATACCTAGAAGGCCTTCTCCCAGCCAGCGACAACTCATTGCTTGCACGAGACACAAAACTCACCGCGCCCGCTTCATCATCGGTTACCCCACTGCTCGGGCTAACGTAGCCGATAGCTCCGACACAATGGTGAAAGAGAGTCCGACACATTTCCCGCAATCCGGTACAGTGCGACCCTTTTGCTGTCGTTGGCGGCTGCGTGGGATTCTCGACGGTTTCTTCCGCGACCGTAGCGGCACCGGGGCTTCCCCGCGCCCCTCCGCTCTTCCGCTCGTTTACCGCTGTCATGGCATGCACGAGCGTCTTGCCCATCCAAGCAGCGCCTCCCCTTGACCTGTAGACACGCGAGAGCGGAGATAGTGTTTGAAAGAGGGGTCCGTGAGACAGAAGAACCGGAGAAGCATGTCACCAGCAGTCATGGAGGATACCGTCTTCGGTCGACCCTCTCATCGCGATGGAACAAGCTGGACATCGGTAGGCGGAGTCTACGCCAAATTTTCCACGATGCAAGAAGGGAGCGAAGGCTCGCCCTTGTGTGAACAAAAAAAAGATGTCACGAGCCGGGTGATTCGTACAGTGGAGATTGCTGAGTCGGCCACCAATCACCGGCGATACGTTCTAACAACGGTAGAGTGTGGTTCGACGAATATCTCGCTTTCAGAGTGCCAACATGAACAATAACATACACAAGAGCCCTGTTGTTGCATAGACATTAGAGCAGTCGATACAGCTCAGAACGCAACCCTTCACCTCAACACTCCGTGACGTCAGGATCACAGATTCCTGTCCTCCAACTCTCCCCCGCTGCACTCACAGGACGACAGGACGGACATAAACCCTCCCTCACCTCTGATCCAAACCTCCCTCAAACTCGCGCAGCAGAGCTCCCCACACCGCCGCAGACCCGCTCGTCGTGCCCATCACCCCAGCTCCCTTCTCCCCCCCCAGGTGCAGCTGCCCCAGCACGCGGCCAAACGCTTCGCTGATGGTCTGTGACCTCCTCCCCGCCGTTCGGACACCGTTGCCCGGACCGGTCGCGCCTGTCTCTTCTTCGAGGACAAAGACACCGACCGCCTTGGCAAGATTAGCCGTGGCCGCTGCAACGCTCACAGCGGCCGAACTTCGTTCGGTGTCCACCCCCCCACCCCCCCCGGGTATACCACCGCTCGTGCTCGCTGCCGCAGTGTCGCCCGCTTCCCCAAGCCCTTGCGGCGCGGGGGGAAGCTTGAGCAGCAAGAAAGTCACGCACTCAACGTGCGCGGACACGACGTCGGCGAGCCAGCCGCCGCCGCCGCCGCCGCCGCCTCCTCCGGTGCGATCTCCTGCAGCGTCTCCGCTCGATGGCTTGGCTATCGTGACCCACAGGTTCTCCACAAAGGCCACGCAGAACGGCGGGCCGGCCCGGCCGTCTGCCGGCGAGAGCAGGGCTTGCGCCGGTAGAGAGGCAAGCAGGGGCAGCAGGCACGGGTATGACGTGCTGGACGTGGCGAGGAAGGCGCCCTTGCGGAGCCGTGTAAGGAGGGTTGGGAGCACCGCCTGTTGGGGGCGGGAGGGGGGGGAGGGGGGGGTACTCTTATGTTTTGCATGCCTTAGCGATTAGACCATTGACCACGCGTCTTCGAGAGGACGGAGCATTGTTCCCACACGACCGGTCACCGATGGCCAATCGTTCCTTCCTACTTTGCCAAAGATGGCCGAAAAATGTCTTGGGGGAGGAGGGGGGGGGCACGTCACGCTACAGTACATGTTTCGGCAAGGGACTCGAAGGGAGACCAGCGGCCGGATTAACACTTACAACAACGTTTCGCATCTACACACGAGAGTACTTTGCGGTCTTAACCCTCACCCATCGTCAGCCGTCTAACGCTTCGGAACGGCTGCGTTGCTACAATACATACGCGGACGCATGGAACGCGAACTGCTTACCGCCGCTCCTTTCTCCGCCATCCACGTCTCCTTGAACTCCCTCAGCACCAGCAGGACCGCCTGCCAAGCCTCCCGGTGATTGGAATCCTCTTTCTCCGACAAGAGCTCCGCCAGCAGGCCCGGCGTCGCCACCCGTGACCTCTTCCCAGCAATCCCTCCCCCGTCACGCCTGTTTGCCTTCTCCTTCTTGCCGCCCGTGTCCGAGACAGCTTCAGTTTTGCCCTCCTCGGCAGGATCACCGGAGGAGGCCTTAGCTGGTGGGAGGGGGGGATGGGGACGAAGGAGCCCCGGGGCGTGCCGACAGCAGGCCGACACTAGGGCGTACATGGCGCGGCGCACGGCGGTTCGGGGGTCTCCCAGACGCGCCCACAGGCTCTCGTTTACGAGACTGAAGTACGTCGTTTCCTTCAAGAGCGAGGGAGCGAGCGAGCGAGCGAGCACAGGTAGGTACATGGTTCGTCGAGCACAGCGGGGGGTGGGGTTGGTTCTTGGCTCGTGACTCCTCTCTTCTCGACAACACTCCAATAAAGCAGGCCATCACAAGAGTCAGGTAAGTGGCTATTCGGGCGGCGGGATTGATGTCGTGTCGGCCGCAGTTGTCGCAGAAGCCAACTGCCTGTACGCTAAACTCTAGTTAGGGCAACTTCTCTGGCTTGCCTGCAAACACGTCGCGCAAAAGCGTGACTGCGGCAACGATGCACCCAGCATACCGTTAGTACCTCATCTTCCGGTTCCGAAAGAACCCGACGACCACTAATAGATGGGTACCCGCAACCCAAGCTTTGTCACCGATGCGCGTTCATGTTCACGTCAGTCAACTCTCACCTGACGGCTTCGACCGACGTCTTCGTCTTCCTCTTCAGCGACAGTTTCATGGCCGGTGGGACGACGGGAAAAGGCAGAGTTCGCCTCTGGGCCCACTGCCTCCAAGAAGCTGGACAGAGCTGTTATAGCCGACACAGACAGCCGCTCTGCGCGCTTCACCGCCTACGCGGCGCAAGCGCATATCGGGGGGGGGGGGGGGGGGGGGGGCCCCAAGGGAAAAAAAAAATGGTTGGGGGTGCCCCAACCCCTCGGGGGGCCCCCCCCCCCGGGTTTGGCAAAAAAAAAAAAAAAAAAAAAAACCCCCTTTGGGGGAAAAAAAAAATTTCCTGGGGGAAACCCCCCCCCTGTTTAAAAAAACCCCCGGGGGGAAAATAAAAAAGGGGGGGGGCCCCCGGAAAAAATGGGAAACGCAGGAAAACCCCCCCCCCCCCCCCCTCGGTGTTTGCCATCGGGGTTGGGTTTTCGTCGCTTGGCAACGACGTTGTACAACAAGCCCGCCCCTCGGTGTTTGCCATCGGGATTGGGTTTTCGTCACTTGGCAACGACGCTGTAAAAGAATCCAATTCACTTCGTGAACTCGGCAACCAGGTTACCGTTTTTTTTTTTCCTCTGTTTTTTTTTTGGCGGTAACCATAATGGTGGTCGAGTAGATCATGTTGTGCGGGGTGGAGAAACCTCACTCCGCGCAAGGGGGTGATCGCACCACGTTGTGATAACATGGTCAAGCATCCTCGAGGCAGCTACACAGTGCTTATAACTGTCTCTGGAAGTGAACGCACCAGAAAATAACTTAAGTCATACGCAGCTGTCATCCGTACGCAAGGAAGTAGGCGCAAGATGCCGAACACCCTTAGCAGGATGCAGCGCACCCTTCATGCGACTCGCCGAATACCTCACGGTGCTTCGCGCTTGGTGATGTGAGAGCCTGGTCCGGTGAGAACCCGGCGTGCTCCGTCCCGGCTTTGTAGGGATGCGAGGTCAACGGTCTAACGACTACGGCATGCACGACTACGAGTACCCCCCCCCCCCCCCCCCGCTTCGGCCGGGTTTTGTTTTTTTCCTGGGAAGGTTTTTCCGAAAAAGGGGATTTTATGGAGTACATCCAGAACGCGTGGGACGTCCTCCGCTTCCTCACGTACTACGGGTAGGGGTTCCCGTTGGACACCTGATGTTGTCTGCATCTGTAGCCTGTCTGTGTGTGACGTGTCGGTCGTACATGTATGCCCTTCTGTTGCCATGCGAAATCGCAACCTTGAGTACGATGAAGATTCGTCAGGCTTGGGCGTCATTTTTACTTGTCGGAACTGCTGTGTTTGATTTTTGTAACCACCATCCACACCAATTGGTGGTTCCCGACCTGTTTGTGGCAAGTTGTGTTTTTTTTGGCGTGTCAGAGATGTAAAACGAGCGTGCGTGATTGATGTCTCCGGTGTTTGTGAGGTGAGGATTTTGCTCGGCAGTTGTTTTGATTCTGAATGTTGACCTCTACGTCAGGGCCAGTCCTGTCCTTTAAATAAGTGTTCGGCATTTGATTCGCACGTTCGAGCAGCCAGCATGCCGCTGAAGCGTGGTCTCAGCCATGTACATGAATGAGTGCGTTGGAGCCGGTGCACTGCTCGTCAACATCCCCTTTCTCGCTCCTTTGCGCCGTACCTGTGCCGGTGTACTATTTACGAACATCCCCCGAACCTTCCTTTGTCTCCCCGCTTTGCGCGGTACCTTCTGTTGTCCCCCCGCTTTGCGCCGCACCTTCCTGTGGCCCGCGCTCTGCGCATCGCCCCCGCGTGCCCCAAAATTTCAGGGCCGGCATCAGCGAACAGCTGTGGAGCGTTTTCCCGATGCTTTACCGCACCTGGGACAAGTGGGCCTTCGATCTCATCTCCAACATGGCCGTGCCGATAGACAACTACATCAGCCGTGGCACAGACGTCTTCATTGCCGGGAGAAGTGCCGAGGGCAACAGGTGATTTT